ATTTCAAATTGCCTGCTTTGCTTCACTAGAGTGTGAAATGCACTTTCCCTTTTGTAGTTTTTCAATTTCTATCATTGTAAGCAGGGGGAAGAGTCCGGGGTGGGCGAAGAGAATGAACACATGGATGTCTGGTGTAATTAAGAAACTGAAGTATTAGAACAGGCAGTGCCTTCACCAGCTATAATTCATCAAACATGGTCTTAATTAAATTGTTTACACAGATGTCTGCAAGCTGGTTCCTGCAACAGTCATTCCATTATAACAACGCAATGTTATTACTGGACTCATAAGAAAAAAAAAAAAAAAAGTTTTGTGTTGCTGTTCACTACACTCCACAGGGCAGCATAAAATAGAAATGAATTCCTATTTCAGATTAGCTAATTCAAACAAGTGCTCTCTGGAAGTTGCTTTAAATAAGGCCCCATTTGTAGGAGTGGCAGCTCGGGGGGAAAAGGGGGAAGCGCTAATGTTTAGCCATTAAATACTTCACTGTCAACACATAATTGAATCCTGGGCGCTTGCTAGGTGTTTATAGATCTTTTCAGCAACCAAGATTCCAGGAATTCAAAGTATTTTTTAGCCGAGATTTGAGCGACGGTAGCCGGCGATCGTGTCTGCGAAAGAATCACAGGTGCTTGAGAAGGGACTCGTCGCTGCTTCCCTTTTTAGCGAGTTAACTAAACAAGGATCTTTAAAGTCTGAGTCACACCCTGCCGGGGCCATAGGAAGAATGCAACTCCTGTCTCTATCACTCTCTTTTATTAGCCCCAGACTTAGACCGGCGGTCTGCCTGCCCTCATTCCCACTGTTATCTCTGGGATTAAGGGGCTTGCTGTCTTTGACCACCCTCTCTTCTGCTGGTCGCACAGATAAAAAAACAAACACTCCAAAGGCCTCCACAAAACACGCCAGCACACACTCGCCCACACATGCATTCGGAAGGGAAGCAGCGGAGTTAGACTGGAATGGATGGCCGGCTTTAGGTCGGGATTGGGTGGATGTAGTTAGAATGGCTTGTGAGGGGAGAAAGGGAGGAGGGGTTCCCANCCTATTTAATGCTGCATTAATTGTTAATTAATTGTTTTGATGTTTATTTCCCCCCATATAGCTTGTAGGTTTAGTGATAATGCTCTGTGGTTTTTTCATCATCACTCAGCCAAAATGTGAGGAAAAAAGTGCAGCTTCAAAAGGAAAGTTAACCAAAAATTAAATAAAATACAGTCGTGACTCGATAATCCGACCCTTAACAATCCTAAACCTTGCTATCTGACAGGTTTGTAGTAAAAACAAATGGAACCCATTAAAAATAGCCTTAACATACCGACAGCCTTGGATTCCGACTCCGACATGACATTTTATGTCACAAATAAGGATAACGGCGTATTATCTGACTGAACAATCCGACAGAGTGGCTACGCTCAGACTGCAGGACTTAATGCTCAGTTCCGATTTTTTTGTGAGTTCGTTCACATTTCCAATTAAATGTGACTTGTATGTGATCTGCTATGAACTTCATACGACCCAAAAGTGTCCCGCATGCACACAAGAAGACACAATGACGTCACACGCAGCAAGTGTGCTCAGTGTTTGCGGAAGTAAACATGGATGGTGGCGGCGGTGGGGGAGTGGAATGTGGTGGAAACAGAAGTGTGACCGCTATCCTAAACTAGCATCAGCAGCCAAGTACGGTCTGTGCGTTCCGGCCACTTCCACCCCGTTGGAGCGCTCCCCCGCGGTAGAAGTGCCCCCCACCCGACCGCACCGAATATTCGGATATTCATCGTTGATTATTAATTAAAATTATTGAATTTCCCTTCTGGGATAAATAAAGTATTTTTCATTCATTCATTTCATTTCATTAATTTGGCCTGAATATCCGGAGCTCAGAAAGTGCTATTCAGACCATCCCTGCTAGTTATTATAACAACTATGAACAATAAATATTAACAACAAATGACCCATCAAGCATCAAGCCCTCCTTGTATCTCGACCTCCGTCTTGACAATCCGACAGCCTTGCTATCCGACATAAAAGAAGGTTTTACATTTAGTGTCGGATTATCGAGTCACGACTGTATTTTGCATTCAGGAACAATCGACTACTGTAGGCCTGAGACAACAAGCCCAACACCACAGATCCATGTAGATCACCGTAGCACCGAGCCATCAATATTCGATGACAAATGCAAAGCTGGACTTAACGTTTTTCTAACAGATAGGATGTCATGTTTGAATGAACTGCATCGGAGGGAGACATAGCCGTGAATACGTTTATGCACACTTTCATATTGCACATATGAGTCGCTTCCTGGGTTTTAATCATATCCCTGTGTGTGCGATTACGTTGTCACCCAGGTTTCTGATCAATGTCTGCTTTCTGCTCAATTGGGTTGTCAACTCGATGGCGTATCCATAAGTCTCTGTCCTCAGCACGGAATAAGAGAAAGCAATATGGGTTATGCCTGCCTGAATACTTGCATTGTACATTCCGTACGCCGGCACCGTCGCACCGCTCTTAAGATTCAGCTTCTTCATCTTCCGCCAATCGTGTGAACGCAGCAGCACCTAAGCAGTGTTCGGCACCGTCTTCAGTCACGACTGTTATCACGCTTTTCCTTTTTCAGCGTTTCACTGAAGTAGAAAGATGTGAGACAAACGATGATAAAAAATACCACATTAGCAATACAGACTCGGTAATTTGTAATGTGACAAAGTTAAAGTAAAGCTCGCTAGGACAAAAAAAAAAAAAAAAAAATCAATTTTACAGAGTTTTTGAAGATCTGAGATAAAACAGGTCCGTTCAAAAGGTACTGACAGCTGACAGCTCTTTCAAGATCATAAGGGCCAATGAAATTACCACTTGTTTGACTTCAGATGCTGAAAGCAGTAATCGACAGGTTCAATCATTGCAATAGCGGTGTTCTGATTGAAGCCTTGTTCCAAAGACTTTTGATGGCAAGAGGACCAATAACAAGCCTGTCCCTCCGCCGCCGCCGCCGCCGCCACCTCGTCCAACTCGGGCCGCATCTGCAGCCAAGTGACGGCCTAATAAAGCTTCTGCACAATGCTAACTTTGTAATGGGCCGTTTCGCCGTGTTATTAAGCTTTAATGTCTCCGTATTCACATTAGTCAATCCAATTTGCTTTTGCTGAAATTTAAACATGCCGACGAACAGCCAGCTGTAACCTTGAGGTGAGGGGAGAGGATAATTGCCCTCGGCACAAGGTACCATCATGAAAGCTTGTATGATTGATATATATGGATTAATTTGAAACTTTCGGTGGGCAAAATGACAGTAATCATTACCAGTGAGCAACCCGTCCAAGTGGAGAGGATAGCGAACGAGGTAGAACCATTTCTTTTTCTTTAAGAAACGGCAACAGGGGAAATACATAGAATCGAACATACATGGCGCTTCCATTCGGCCTCTCTTTGTTTCTGTCGGGCCACATGCCCCGCGTGCACGTACACACCAAGAGACGACAAATTAGCTGTCAGTTTTACTAGCCATGTGACCTCAAAAGCAAAGAGAGGGGGAGATAATGATCTTAGGCTAAGGACAACTATACAGACACACATACACACACTTTAAACTGCACTGTCCAAGGACTCAAGATTGACGGATCAAGCGGGGGGGAGGGTCTGGCACCAAGACAGAGGAGGGTAAATGTGATTATCGCGTGGCGGGTTTCAGCGTTCTTAAACTGAGTTAATAAACTGCGAGGGATGCATAAAATTAAAGTTGCAATGATTTAAATTGTGTCCCAGAACACCACATCCTGTATAACCACCCCCCACCTTTCTTCCATAAACGAAATGAATGTTTTGTTGGTTAATTTATCATTCAAGTAAAGGGATTAGTCGTCTGCATAGCGGCAGGTGACATACTGCGTATTGATAAACTGGACACATAATGGAATTGCCTCGTACGCTTCCACCTTGTAACCCTGCAAGGTACGCTGCTGGTCATGGGAACACAAAGACACGTTTAAATCACACAGAATTGCCTGAATACTCATTGTTTGTGTTTAACGGGGTACAAATATGTAATAAGCTCCATGTGCAAATGACCTACCGAGCATTTCCCCCCCTTTTTGTTTTAATAAGCGAGGACAGTTTCCTAATTAGGCACCTGCAGGAGACAACATGCATATCGCCTTCCTACTGAATGTATCTTAAACGTTTATGGGCTTAACTGGTTGACCTTTCCAGTACATTAGCCATTAATAAAGCATTCATTAAGAGTCCCTTTAGGATCTGCGAGAGCTTGGCAGGTTCCTTAAAAAAAAAAGGAAAAAAAGAAAAAAGAAGCGGTGGCACCACTCGTAGAGACAAGAGGGAAAATGCAAGCTATCATTTATCTGGGAAATGAGAAATGGCGAAAGTCCCTGAACGTATCATTGAGCGCTGATATTATCCAAACTCATCTCTCACTGGAAAGGCTTGACAGACAATCTGTCTCTTAAAAACAATCAAGTGATAGCGTAATTTCTGAGGCAGACGCATGTCCCTCCTGCGCTATCGTTTTATTGTCTCAAAAGAGAATGCCCTCCCCCTTATAATAAAGATTAAGCACACTGGTCCCCGAAACCTCTGACATAAAGAATTAACTATTTCTGAGTTTGCTGCAACAATGTCCTGGCAAAAAAAAAGAAAAGACAGCACTGTTCCAGAAAGAAGTGATTTCCAGACTTACAGCATTAAGCGAGCACAGAGTTATTTTTGGTCCCTCTCCCTCATGAGCTGATCGCTGGCTATGCTCTGATCCCTTTGTCCATCAGAGAGACAGAACATTTTCGGGCTAATGCAACTGGACCCTCACTAATGACAGCAAATAGCCCTGTCGGCTGGATGACAGCAGCTGAGAACAATACTTAATGTTGACATCACTTGCTGTGTGGATCTATTTCGGGTTTCTTCCTTTTATAGTGCGAGGTTTGAAATTGCTATCGGTGCTCCCCAGACAAAGCACGTATAAAAGCTTTGGTCGAGGAGGTGGCCCTCTGTGCTTGGGAATCACTTCCAGTCCATTCACAGACTTCTTTTTTTTTTTCCCTCAAAAAAAAGGAAAAAAAAAAAAAAAAAACACCAGCTCACCTCTGAATCCCTTTACAACATGCCACCAAAGAAGATTGAACCAAAGAAACCCGAGCCCAAAAAGCCAGAGCCTAAGAAAGATGCTGCCCCGGCTGCTAAACCGGCCCCCACCCCAGAGCCGCAGCCCGAGCCGCCCAAAGAACCCGAGTTCGACCCCAAAAGCATCACTCTCGAGTACACCGCCGACCAGATCGAGGAGTTCAAGGAGGCTTTCACCTTGTTTGACCGCACGCCCACCGGCGAAATGAAGATCACCTACGCCCAGTGCGGGGACGTGATGAGGGCTCTGGGCCAGAACCCGACCAACGCGGACGTGCTCAAAGTCCTGGGGAAGCCGCGGCCGGAGGACATGAGCACGAAAATGGTGGACTTCGAGACCTTCTTGCCGATGCTGCAGCACATCTCCCGCGCCAAGGATCAGGGCAACTTTGAGGATTTCGTGGAGGGGCTCCGGGTTTTCGACAAGGAGGGCAACGGCACCATCATGGGAGCCGAGCTGCGCCACGTGCTGGCGACGCTGGGCGAGAGGATGACGGAGGACGAGGTGGACAGACTGATGGCCGGGCAGGAGGACGCCAATGGATGTATCAATTACGCCTCCTTCGTAAAACACATCCTCTCTGGGTAAAAACCGGACGTTCAGCCGCCAGAGACTTCATTTTAAAACAGTTTCCTCCACTCTCTGGACTCTTTGCTTTACATTTTCACACTCGTAGGTGAGGTTGTCACTTTAATCGGTGACATTATTTTCATGCTGTCAAACGCAGAATTAAAAAAAAAAACATAATGTTGATTGCAGAAAGAACTTCTGATTGCTTCTTTTTAATAAAACACTCTGAAATATAATGAAATGCCACCGAGATAATACGGACATCAATCAATGAAAATCAATTAATAAAGGAAGTATGATTACAAACCTCACAGACGGCTGTTCAATACATTTAAATGTGGAGAGAAAATGATGATTCATCCAGGATTGCGTGCTCAACTTTTCACGTCAACTGTGCTAATGTGATTAGGCCAAAGTATTGTCGAGACGGAGGGAGAGAAAAAAAAAGAACAACAAAAAAGGATTTGGCTCCATCTGAAAATAGAACAGATTTGGTTCTATTCTGCTTTACACAAAGAGTGTCTGAATGAGTGTGCTTACCATTGTGATTGAGGGGCAGCTGCTGGGAATCAAGATATACTTCTGCATTTTGAACACACACACACACACACACACACACACTCATGCATCCAGTTGCCTTTGACAACCGTAAGACAGGTGCACCAAGGACAGGACCCCCTCATAATATTTGCAGTGGCTGACAGAAAGATTTGTGGTTGGTTTTTAAAAGCAAAATATATCACAGCCGCATTATCATACCGGGTGAATAATGTATAAATGCGATGTTTAAGTGGAGATAATTTGAATTTTTCAAGACTTTTTTTT